ACTATCTAGAAGAATTTTGGAAATTGGGTGTCCAAAGAAACGAGAGGATCTGTCAAAATCGAACATTACCGAATAGGGGGAATAAGCGTCAAAAAATACGAGTTTTAGATAGATGAACTTTACGGATGATCCTTTAATATACATAGGATGTTCAAAGGAACCATATGTGTAGAAACACAATATTCTTCATCAATTCGTACTTGTGTTGTATGTCTTATAAGAATATTATTGACAGAAATCAAGGAGAGAGACGCTTGGTTCTGCTTTTTTAAACTATTTTCATTGATCTCTGAAGTGAGCATTGATCTATATTGAAAATCGGCACAGTAAAATGATGAATTAAATCGTGAAGGAAATATGTAGTCAAAAAAGAACAAGATAACAGTTGTAATATTGGACAAAAACTTGTGATTGACAGTAATTACATTGTAAAATATATTAGTTTATTATTTTATTGATTACCTATCATACAATATTGAATAGACTTTGGAAGTACTTTTAATATGTTAATTATATTATGATTCATTATTAACAAACATTATTATGGAAAATTTTTACTTAAGTAATTTAAAAGTGAAAAATAATATTATTGACTGTATTCTGATATTGTTACTCTATGGAATACTTCGTATTTTTTTTTCCAATTAGGTTTTATTTATAATCATTTCATCATAATATTAGCAAAACTGATGACAAATTAGTTATTGTGTAGTTATGTACTTTTATAAAACATTATCGTATAAAAAAAAATAATGGGTTGGTTCACAGAAGAATCTAATTATGAAGATTTACCGTCATGCTTTAATTAAAATTTTAGTAGTCATTGAATTTGACAAGATTGTTTGTCTTCAAAATGAATTTTTTCAGTGATCATCATTAGTCATACTTCCAACAATAACAATAGAAATCAGGAAAAAATACATAAAATAAATTCTACGTTAGACATAATGGAGTATTCGTTATGTCAAGGTACACAATTAAAATGTTATATGCTTTTTCAAAGTTTTATATTTATTCAATAGGTATTCTTTATATACTTGAACAGTTTATGATGTACTAATAAAAAAAAGTATTTTGCATTTTACAAAAATCTGTCAAAGTCATGACATCGATTGATATGCATAGAAAATTATGAATTAAAGTCTCATTGATTCGATTAATTCTTTCTTAAACATATTCTTCGGAAAGTGTAATCGAATTTTAAATAGTAAATGTTGATCGTGGATCAATAGAGCCATCTACAGAAAGTTTATTGACCAATCAATACTATTGTATTGATCGTTTCAGCTGTAGGTACATATGACTACAATTATTGATTTTTCGTTTTTCCTATAATGAAAAATATAATTAATAATTGATTAAAATACTTTCTTTTTATTTTGTTTTTTTAAGATTTTGATGTTTAATGACTAATAACAATGAAAAAGTTACAGACAATATTGAAATATTTTATATCAATTTATCAATATCAAAAGAGAGTAATGTACCCAGGAAGTTGAAAAAAACATAAAATGTAATAAATTGGAAAATCTCTACTAAATCTTTGTTGTCTTTTTTTTATACATGGTTAGGTACAGCTAGACGAGCTGAGTCAGAATATGTCTTTTATTAGATTTTTGAAATGTTTTTGATTAAAAAAATTGACTTTTTTTCAATAGTTCTGAATGCTCTATTTTTTCTGAAAGAATGTTTTTCATGTTAAAAAACTGATACATTTTTGTGATTTTTAAAAATTATTTATTCCATGTGGATTGTAAAACTAATTTGTTTAGATTCGTTATGAACAACTGAGTCTGTCAGACTTATTTCAAAAATTAGTCTCAAAAACTTAGTTTTTCCTAGTAAATCTAAACATGATTTTTTTCAAATGAAAAACATACTTTCCGAAAAACGGACCATTCAGAACTATGGGAAAAAAACCTAAAGTATTTTAATGAAAAATTTTCAAAAAATAATAAAATATATATCCTTATTCTACTAGTCGAGTTCTGTCTAACTAGGTGTTAGAAAACAAAAAAGGCTTAGCTCAAATTTTGCATTTTTTACACCTTATGTCTTTTCAAAGTCAACATAATGAAAAAAATTTAATCACACTGCTGCAAATGAAGAAACTTTAACACGTCTTGGTCATTTTACTTAACAAGACAATTTACTAAATATAATTATTTCAGGTACAACTGATTGTGAAAAAGTCTGTTTGTCTTGTTCTTATTTATTTCATTGAATAAAATAATTTTTTCTAGACAACAGATGTTCTTTGTCTTACAAGATAAATTAAAGTAAAAATATTTGCAAAATCAAAAGTATCGTTACAATAAAGGCGACATTAAATAATAATTCCTGATGCAGCTGAAAGGTAGGAGAAAATAAAACAGTTCAACTAGAATGATAATCTTGATGTGATTTAGTACAACAGAAAGCACCTAAGAAGTATGACGTCTAGTAATGGAATTATATCCTACAATAAAAAAAATTGCTTTTATAATACGTCCGATAAAATTATTGATATATTTATCTTTGATATAAATATTAATAAATTATTTGGATTTTTTCGAAACAATTTAAACTCGATGTGCAATGTTAAGATATTCAAAATTACATGATGAACAATTATTATAATGTCTTATTCAAATAGCTAAATCTGAACAAGTTTCATATACATCTGAAAGTCTCGAAGCAATAATTTTTATAGCACAAGGTGATATAAGACAAGTATACATTTCATCTTAGTTCATTTATTGTTTATCACAAAAATAATTATGGTCGGTTCATAATTTTCAATCAACAGTATTTGGATTTGATCATGTTAACAATGAAAATACATTTAAAGTTTGTGATGAACCACATGAAATTTTATTTGTAACATGATTTTACGAGTATCTTAAAAGTTGTTTTTATTAGCTGGTACATTATAAGGTATTCTTTCGGTGATAATGCATGTGACAAAAACATATCAAATGTGTCAATTTATGCAATTAGAATTTACTGAAGCATAAAAAATAAATTATTTTTTTAATGTTTTTTAGTGATCTATTTTTTCGGGGCATTGGTTTGACGTAAAGGTGTGTTAGACAAGCCTTTGAATCATAACTGCAATTATTTTCGTTACTTGCTCGATTATGTGAACGAGCAAGTTGGTAAAATATGCAGATTCATCTATCAATGCGTTTCTTAATTGAATTTTAAGCTTTGGATGATAAAAAAACAGAGATAGTTTTTGTCTTTATTTTCATTTAAATTTGTGACTTAAATATGTTCTAGATCATATGGATATATCATCAACGAAAGATAAAATAAATTATTGGCAACAGCAACAAGATGTCAATCAATTAAAAAAATCTCGTCTAAAAGTATATTTTCATTTCGATCTCTTTGATTTATTTGCTTTTTTTTTTTATATAGGTAAAGACTGATCAAGCAAGTACTTCTCAGTTAAATGAAAGTAATTATTTATATTCTATCTCTATTGTTTAATAAATTGATTATGTTAATATTCTTTAGAAGTTCAATCTTATGTCGATCAAAATCAATTAAAACGTACTCAATCTGATTCTGATCAACGTGGATCACCTTTTAAAAAACGTCATTTCACTGAACAATTCGCATCACCTGTTCATACTGGTTCGTTAATATTTTTTGTTAAATATCGCATAAATATTCTATAAACTAACCGCAGACAACGATGATGATGATGATGACGATGACGATGACAGTGATTCAAATACTGGAACTATCACATCTACGAATAATACTGAAATAAAACGAGATGATAGTCGTAGACGAGCTGCTCATATAGCTGCTGAACAAAAACGTCGAGATTCTATTCGTGTAAATAAAATAATAAAAAAAATCGAATCTTTTCAAAATAAAGTTTCTTTTTTTTTTTTTAGAAAGGATTTGATTCATTACAAAGTCTTGTACCAAATAGTCATTTACTCGACCCCGTTAGTTCACAAAAAGTTAGTAAAGCAGCGATCCTTAAAAGATGTAAGTTACAAAAAAAATATTAATTAAAAAAATCTTCTAATTTTTGTAACTTTTAGCTATGGATTATCTCGCTCAACTAAATAAGGAAAAACAACAATTAAATAATCAACTCGAAACAAAGAAAAAAGAAATATTTTGTTTACGCACTGTTCAAAAGTTTGTGAATTTTTCTTTCGTTATTTTTTGGTTTTTATATTCAGTTTCATTGATAAAATATAGAGCATATGAAGATATTCTTGAAGCGAATACAAATTCAAAAAAATATGCAAATATATCAATTAATGATGAACAAAAATTTAAATTAGTACGTCATGATTTATATTTTAAAATCAAAAGAGAATTTTTATTTTATTTATAGTTTCAAAATATTGCTGATACAATTTTTACTAGTTTTGATCAAGCTATGCAAGCAGGACAAGGAATAAGTTTTTCTCAATTTACATCGACAATTCTTCACTGGATTGAAGATTCATGTAAACCATCGGTAAGCAACTGAATTTATTTATTAAAGAACAAGAGTAGATAAGAACCATTACTGAATTCTCTTCAGTTTTCTATTATTTATGACTTGTTTTCTGCAGCATCTAGACCAATATTTGTTCAAAATATTGACATATACTTTGACATCATTAATCGATAATTCATAGATAAAAGAGTGAGGCATGCAAACTTTCCCATAGCAAGACACATAGAACCAAAAACTATGTCAATCAAGTACCCATCATACAGTTTATCTTTGATGAAAATTTCAGTTCGAACGAACATCACGATCATTTGCTTATATTTTCATTTCTACATATTGCTTTTTAAATACTTCGAGAAATTTAAAAAAAGACACATGGCCTTTTGATTGATTCTAACAATTTGAAGGAAGGAATAAAAAAATATATAATTTTCAATTTTTTTAGAAATGAACTTTATCGGATACGAGAACTTGAATTTAGTTTAGATAACATTTTTTTCGTATCTAACACTAACAGATTTCAATTGCATGAAGCACAGTTGAGTCAAAACCAATAACACTTTTGGAATCACCAGAAGTAGTTTAGCTCAGTGGCATGTGTTCCGAAATTTTTCATCGTACCTTCTTTTTCTCAAAAGTATGTACCTGCAGTTCCATAAGAGTTCGGTCAAAAAAGTGAATTCAATTAAAAAACTGCTTGAGCAGTAAAAAACAAGTTCTGAGTTTATAAAACGTTAATGGAAATAAAAAGGGCAAACAAGTAAACCAATAAAAAAATGTATTAGTTAAGTTCGTTTTTTTGACTGAACCCTGAGGGGTTCCCACATAAGTGTTTTTGAGACAAAGAAAATTCGATACGAAACTTCGGAACACATAACGATCGACTCATTTTGTATGGTGATTCCAAATATGTTATTGATTTTTGACTAAAACAATGCTTCTTGTGATTGAAATCTTTTAATCATGAATGCAAAAGAAATGGTATCTAAAAGAATTTCAAGTTCTCTTATTTGGCAAAGTTCACTTCTAAAAGATTGAAAACTATATATATTTTTGTATTCCTTCCTTCAAGTTGTCAGAATCAATCAAAAGCTCAAATATCTTTGTTTCATTTCTCGAAGTATTTAAAAAACAATATGTAGAAATGACAATATAAGTAAATGATTGTGATGCTAATTCGAGTTGAAGTTTTCACTAAAGATAGACTTAAGATCGATATTTTATTGACATAACTGTTAGTTCCAGATGTCTCGGTATGAGAAAATCTGCATCCCTCATTCATTTATCTATGAATTATCGATTAATGATAAAAATGTGTATGTCAATATTGGGAATAAATGTGAGTCTGGTTGTTTCAGACATAGCTTTATTTTGTTACATCAAACGAGTTCTCATGAAATTCTGCATGAAACAAGGCATAACTCAAGTGAAACTGAAGAGAACTCAGCAATAGATTTTATATACCTTTGTCGTTTAATGAATTCTTTAATGATATTTAGGATATCAATGAAATTTTTCGTCAAGCTATTGCAAATTCAAAACTGTGATTGAAATTTTATTCTTTTTCTTATACGGTTTTGTATTTATTTTCTTGATAAAGATGTAATTTGTTTATATTTTCGTTCCATTAAATTTTATATATTATTGAAATATATCTTGGATAAAACTTATTCATGGCATTTTGTTGAAATATTCAGTTAAGAATAATTAGGAAAGAAAAAGAATGATTAATTCATGTTTTATGAATTTTGTATGAAGAAATTGAAAATATTGTTTTATCAATGGTGATTTGAATAATATTGATGTTCTACAGCAATAAACAAGGAGAAAATGACGAGACCTTCTATTGATATTATATATTTAATGTCTTTTTAGCCAACGTTAACGTTCGTTTATGAATTTGCAATTCCAATTTCGTAATTATCTGTTGAACACCTTCATATTACAATAGAAAAATTTCAAGCACAAAGTAATTTGGATCATAGATAGCATCATCCGATGAATAATCTTCGATCATCATAAACTTTAAATGGTTACGACTTGTTCATTTTCAACTTCTTTTTCGACCTTGACGAAACTACTTATATCACCTTCCAAGTGTTCTCATAGAATGGATGCCGAAAAACAAATACAGTTTATCATGAATAACTCTTACTTGAATACATAGAGCAGTATGAAATTTATCGTAGAAAAGAAACTTTTCCTTATTTATCGAACTTAGAAGTGAAGAACTTTGATCGAAATTCTTACATTATCACATCAAATGAAGAATAGTGAAATATAATAAACTTATAGGGTCCTGTTTGGATTTATCAGTGTATACAGTAAGTATCAAAATTATTCAATTTTATATTCTTTTGTATATATCTTCAAAGCCAGAAGAGTTAAGCTCATATAGTTTTCGTCAGATTATACCCTATAGTCTCTAGTATATTACAAAAAAAATAATAGATCAATCTATTGATCTGTTTAGTTTTTATTGATGATACATTCACAACATGCCGTTTTTCGTTCTTTCATAAGTATCCAATTACTCATTTTATAAACTATAATATTTAACTAAATTTATTGTTCAATATATCATTAGCAAGAGCAATAGAAACTGCGTCAGATATTTTATTTGAATATAAATTTCATGATGAAAATTTGTTTTACTCGTCTCCTATGTATACACAAATCATAGATAGACGTTTTTATAATGTCTTATTCACGCATAGAAGAGGGTAAAAGTTGTTTTAACTTTTTCAGCAGGAAACTCTTATATTTGAAATCAAAAGAAATTATATGACCTAAATTATATACCTTTGTTACACTATGAATATCAACAATAAAAACCTTACCGTTGTCCTATGGAGATAGACGATAAAATTTAGAACAATGCTCTATGTTAACTTTGATTTGATACATTATTTTCTAGTGAGATACATATCCAATCTATTGGTTTTTTATTTCAAATAAAAGAGTTTCGTACAGAAAAATATTCTCTTCAAATCTATTATCTTCTTTGATGCATGAATAAAACAGCACACGAGCACCGCCAATCTATGTCTAGTAAGTAAAAAAGATAAAGAAGACTCGCAAATAACTACATAAATGCAGTGCGACACGGTTTCACCAAGAGTCGATTCTGCCCTGTTGAAGTTTTTGATTATTTTTCCTGCTCACAACAACTGACTGGAGACTAGGTTACCAATTTTAATTATATCGGGGAAAAGATAGAGACTAAATCGCCAAAATCACCGTTTTGCAAAATTTACTGAAGATTCATCATTCTCTAGAGTATCGTGACACAAATTACAGATTTTGTTACAGTAAAAAACACGAAAAGATAGAGACTGAATGCGTACGTGACCAACTACACAAATGCTGTATTTCACACCACATAATTTGAACAAAATAACTTAATGTTAATTTATCCACAAATTCTAATAGTATTATTCTTGATGAATGAATATCTTCTACAATAACAACTAATTCTATTATTACAATTCATGCTGATAATAATCCAACAATGAAAAAACTTACAGAAATTATTGTTAAACCTTCGTTCATGTAATGCTCTGCTACAATGAATATGTCATGATTTAAATGAGATCAATGAACGTATGATATCACTCATTCAACTTAAACAAACAGATTTGCGAACACCTGAAACATGAAAAGCAATCCAATATATTGCTCAAACAAAAGAAATTTAAAATAAATCAATTGAAACATCTTTAAAATCATGTCAACGCTCAAAAGAAACATTTGAGAGATAAACAAACGCAAAAACATGCCGAGCAATTATAAAATATCATCTTGATTTTGCTTGTGTTTTGAAGAAAAGGATGTAGGTATGGGTGTGGGTGAAGAAAAGATCACACCCACACCCTCTAGACCATCCCTGACATACAAAAGAGAACATCAATTCAGTATCTTTTATTGTAGTTTCGACTTAATACAACTTTTGAATGACTGTTTTTGCGTTTATCTTAATAGTAGAGTTGTCAAAACTGTTTGACCAACATAATCAAGCAAAACAGTGGCTTTATCATTCTTTCAGATTGCAGTGTTTCATCAGGAAGAAAAAGTGAAGACTTTTGAGATCTATCAAGGAACGAAAACGGAAATGAGGTCGATTAAGAAATGAATCGTAGTGATGCAGTAAACGATGCAACGTGTGGATGTCCTTCGTAGATGACGTTAGATCGAGCAGATTTGCATGTCATTACAACAGGTCGCCCTCGAATGTGACCATGACGCTATACCGATGAGCTTCGTCCCGAAGCAGATGATAACAGCAGCAACATCAGATCAACAAAATCTCAACCAATTGGAACCATGCTACATGTATTCGATGCTAGTCAAAGAGATCATAATGGAAATCGATGAAGACCATGTTACAGCGATGAAAGACATAGTTACCTATTGCCGTCAATGAAACATATGTGAATCCCAATTAAAGGATTTTCAGCATGAATACCTCCTGAACACGGCAATCTGGTGGTATACTCGTCAGATTTTTCTGTACGGTATGCTCAACCAGACTTTACGGTCATTTGACATGGAAGTCATGATCAAAATTGGCTTTTTCATCCGCAGTCTCCATCGACAATTAGAAAAACTGCACAAAGAACAATCGGGTGCGAATATGAAAAAGTTTATCGTTTACCATGGTCAGAGGCTCAGCGAACAAGACTTTCAGCATCTAATCGGCACGAAAGGTGGAGTGCTCTCATTTAACAATTTCTTATCAACTAGTACAGAACAACAGGTAGCTATGGAGTTTCTTGAACGTGCACTGCATAGAAATAAAGACACTGTAGATATTCTCTTTGTTATGACAATCGATCCAAGTAAAGTTTCGGCTTCCACTACTCCGTTCGCGCTTATCAACGAATATAGTGTTGTTAAAAGCGAAAAAGAAATTCTCTTCTCAATGCACACTGTTTTTCGTGTCGATGTTATCAAACATAGGGTCAACAATAGTCGCCTCTGGGAAGTTCAATTGACTCTCACCGACGACAGTGATCCACAACTGGCTGCTTTCA